TTTTTTTAAAAAAAGTACTGGATGACCAAGAATACACCCTACCAACTCTCCAGAATGAAGTCATTCTACTCTACCAAGTAAAGACAGATTCAGCGCTTTAACTGTTGGCCAATCTAGACTTTGTTCATTTTCTTTTAAGAAACCTGAAGACATAAACATGTTTCTAAAGTGAAGACCATTCTAGCTTTCTAAGTGGCCAAACCAGTTTATGCCTAAAGGGCATGTCGGTGACTATGTAGAAAGGGAAACGTGCTTACATTTACCCACGTTCCTCCAACCTCCCTCCCCCGGCAGAAGGATGGGCAGGCAGTGCACCTGGAAGTTGCCGACCACCACGAGGCCTGCGGTATTGGTACAGCCTGTGATGAGTGCTGTGGTGTTAAGCCAAGAGTGACGACTCTGCTCCAGGAGCTGCCCGTAGCGTAGAAGGCAGATCAGAGCCACTGGGGAAAGAGGGTATGGGTGCGGTCAAGTGTCTTCTTCCTGCCCGCTCTGCCACAACAGCCTGCCAGCTCCACCCCCCATGCTCTGAGGGGCGGAGGGGAATAGAGAGGTGGTAAACAGTTTCTCCAGACAATGGCCAGCAGGGTGGCTGTGTGGGGGTGAGCATTTGGCCTTCAAGGAAGAAAAGTGGCCCTCTCACCTTAGCTCTTGGTGGGGCAGGTTATGCTGAGCAAGGGCTTCTGGACCTTTCTGGGGAGGTGGTGGGGTGGTGGGATGGCAAAGGGGGCTGAGAGCACAACTCACCCATGAAGGCACCTACGTTGCCGATGAGGCTGAAGAGGCAGCTCTCTGGGGATATGTGCCGCACTTGCTGAGAGGACGAGGAGGAGGAGGAGCAAGGACAGAGTGAGAGAGGTAGAAGCCCCAGGAGGTCCCATTCTGGTCAACCTCCTCTCTTGCTTTATCTGCTTACTCCTTAGCAGGCAAGCCACTGATTTATGAGAAGGGCCAGCGTTGCTCACAGTGTTGGCTCGAAGGTGGGTCATCCCACCCTCCAGAGCCGAGCGCATGTGTTGAGTGGTAAGGGAGTGCTCAGGTCTGCTTGGCAGACCCTGAGGCTCCTTGGACTTCATGGTCTGACCTTCCTTGAACCAGAACTCAGGCTGCGCAATCAGAGGGCTGGAGCTGAAATCCAGTGCCTCCAATTACTACCTAGAAGACCTGGACGAATGACATAACTCTGGGGTTTCAGATTCCTTGCCTATAAAATGGTGAAAATAATAGCTGCCTCCACTCTGGGAGGAGAAATGACATGCACGTAAAGTGTGCAGCACAGCGCCGTGCAGACAGTCATTGTTAAGTAGAGTTATTATATGCCCTCGACATAATTATTCTTCCCAGGGTGCGAGGATAGGCCTTTACTGGGGGGCTAGGTTTGGACTCCCACAGGACCTCGGGTCTCCCCAGTGCGCCCAGTTTCTGCGCCTCACCTGATGAGGGGTACATCATCCAGAGTGCAGCATGTCTTCGGGCCCCCTTGCTCAGTGGGGTCAGGAGAGCAGGACTCGTTGTAGGACCTGGCAGGCAGGATATAGAGTAGACTGGGGGAAAGGGTTCCCCAGGGCCCCTGACCTGTAGCGTCAGGCCTCTCTGAGACTACGCTCCCAAACTTCCCCTGGCAGTGGCTGAAGAGCCCACTTCCCAAGGCCCGGCTGAGGCAGAAGCCCAAGGGGTGAGGGATGGTGGAAGCAGGTAGGTGGGCACAAAGCCATGCCTGGGGAGGGGCAGGCGCTGCCAATGTCAGAGAAGAGCAGTGAGGCCCAGGGTGTCCATCTGGCTTGCAGCAGCCCTGGCCCAAGAGGGAACAGAGATGAAGGGAGCTTTAGAGTGAGGCTGTCTGCAGAGCGCACCATACCAGTTCTCCACGGGGCACACGTGGCGGTTCATCACGGCCATGGCATACCTATGGGAACACAGCTGTCACTCTGCCTGTAGACCCCTCCCAGCCTTCCCCCACTGATTCTTTTTCATGATTCTGATCCCATCAACATCAGTGTTCTGGCTGGCACTCATGTGGGCTGGCTTGGAGGCTTGACACACCAGAACAGCACAGCCCCCAACTAGAGGACCTTTGGAAGTTACCCTGACTAGAAAAAGTATGTGCATTGGGCTACCCTGCTGATGAGCAGTGGTGCTAGCTTGTCCCATGAGGCTGTGTGCCCAGTCACCAGGCCAGGCTTTGGAGACAGCCTCAGTGATCCTGGGTTCCACCCTGGATCCTGCAACAAGACAGGGGACTGTGTGTGCCATCAAGCTCCTGTCGGATCTTGGAATGGGCAGTTTCGATCTGAGCCTGGGCCCATTTTGTACCCTAGTTGTCTTTAACCCTCCCCCTCTTTACTTACACAGTCCATAGGCCAGTGATGGAGAATGCTGACAGGCTGACAGGAAGGAGGATCCAGGCGGTCATGAGGGAGGGAAGCCAGGATGGTGGTGGTGTGGGGAGAGGACAAGAGATGGGTGGGGGAAAGGGGGCGGGTCCGGCTACCTTAAGAAATTTCTCCAAAACCATCAGCTGCCCTGGCCTGGTGGAGAGAGACAGATCAAAGTCCAAGGTCCAGTGACTGACCATAGCGGGGGCGAGAGGTGGGGGGAAGGTGAGGAGGGCTTGGTAGTCAACACAGATTTCGAGCTCCCGCTGGGGTTCCGAGCGCCCAAACTTTGTGCTGAGTCCACGCCGGAACGTAGACACCCCCTCTGACATCCAGCGGGGGCTTCCGCGTTCCACCAGAATACCACGGGAGTGACCAGGGCCATAAATCTGGAGAGGGAACCACTACCCTGGCCTGCGGGACCCGGGCTGGGAGAGGGGCTGGGGTTTGGACAGGCACGCCAAGGAAAGCCAGGGAGCGGGTCCGGTCCCCCGGTGCAGCCGCAGGCAAGCGCCTGACCACCCGCTCCCAGGGAAAGTGGCGGGGTCACGCTGGGAGCTCAGCCCGTTCTCTATCCGCGTGCGCGCGGGGACCCCGATTTGGGCTTGCAGCCCATCGCCCGCGAGCCCCCAGGACCGAACTCTCCCTCCAGTCCCCAAAGTGATCTCTGGAGGTCCCGGGAAGGGGGGCCCAGTACGCACCTCTCCGAAGTGCCCCGCCGCCGCCTGGCCCCGCTCAGCCCCCTCGTGGCGCCGTCTCCAGCTGCGGCCCTCGGAGCAGCCCAGAGAGGTTTAAAGGGCCGAGCGGCCCCGCCCCTGGCCCCAGGCCGCGCCGCGCCGCCCGCCGGGACGTGAAGTCCACAAGGCTCGGGTCCCGCGCGCGCGCCCTGCCAGAGACTACAAATCCCGAGCCCCTGCGCCGGCGTCACGGTGGAAATGTGGGCGGCACCTCAATTTCGGGGGGGGGGGACCTGAGCGCCGGGGGTTTGTGGCCAGGAACCCGAGCTGAAGCTGACACTGGAAATGCCAAAAGGATGGTCCGGTCAGCCCTGTTCCTGCGGTGGAAGCTTCGGGAGGCGGGAAGCTCTGGGGGCTACACAGCCTTTCAACCCCATGTGATTGTCATGGTGCACTAGGCTGGAGGAGCCTCCTTTCGCCGCTGGGCACTTTTAGCAGCCGAGATCCCTGGACAGTGATGCTTAGGTGAACCTCCTTCAGTGTGGTGGCCTGTGCCTGCCCCAGGTGAAGGCGAGGCGGATCCCGCGGGAAGCGAGCATAAATCCTGACTGTTGCTTTTAAGAAATTCAAGCGCCCAGGATTTGGCTTATGCTATTCATCAGATACCTTTTATTTTCAAGGGTACAAGTACACAGAGTACTGTCCAGAAGTCAGTGTCCATTTCCCGACTGCTGTACACTTGAATGCTGCAAAGACCCATGGACAGATATTCCAAGCGCGCACACACACGCGTGTATACACACACACACACAACCCAGTGTGGGTGAGCAAGAGATAAGGCAGCAGACTGGGACAAGGAATCAGGATAGTTTGGGAATAAATTACCCCAACTCAGTCAAAATTTAAGGCCCAGAGCATTACTAGCCATTCTTTTCCTGATTAAAAGGGTGGGGATACTCCTTTTACATACCAGAAGTGTGCCTGGCACTTTAAAAGGCAGCCCAGCATGTGCTGGTGGGCTTGTGAGAGACAACATTTGGGACTATATCCTGTTGAGCAGGGTTTGAGTTCCTGTCCAACCAATATCATGACATCTAAGGCTACTACTTAGTTTCGAAACTGGCTGTTTTAACATAAAGTGGGGGAGGGGATAAGATTGCCACTCCAGAGTGGTAACAAGGAGGCAGATTTGGACTTAATATGACAATCTGAATAATTCCTAAAATAGAATTACCAGGAGACAGAGCTCCCTATGAAGGAAGAGATCTTTGAGGGTGGTGGGCAGAAAGGAATTACATATCAGAGAAGAACCAGATATCTTTAATAGTCCCATCCAGCTCTAATGCTGTGTAAGTGTAGTTATGCTCCAACCAGGACAGTTCTTAAAATAGGCAGCAAGAGATGAGATTTCAACTGCTGATTCTGTGGTGCTGAGTGGCTTTAGGCCAGGCATTTAATCTTTACTTCCCCTATGTACACAAGTGATTTCACAACTTCTGGCAAAAACAGTGCTGTAAAAATAGTTTGAGTTTATGGTTAAAAAGAACACTGTATTTGAAAAGTATCTTCTCAGAGGATTTTCAAATAATTTGCACACTTCGATTTATTCATCCACATAGCAGAAACATTGGAAATGAGAAAACAGAAACATGTATGGCTTTTTATACACTTAGTATCACAATATAAACAATACAACCAGTCTCTTATTCTGGTGACTGAGAAGGCAGTGGAGCCATTCACTTCAAAGTTTTCACTTCTAATATCACTCCAACTAGTGGGGAAATTGGGTGGGTGTCTAAGGCTTCTTGGTCATCTGTTTCCTCAGGGACAGGGCAGGAATTCATCAAGCGAGCTTAAAATGTTTCAAATAATTGTGAACATTCCATGGTGATACTCCCAAAGAAGGCTCAGAGGTAGCAAAATAATTTGTCCTTATTCCTATCTTTCTATATGCAATGGCTTCATTTGCATTTGTGAACCTGCTGGGGATCCACTACCCCACCTTCCACAGATCCTGCACCAAATGCAGAATGGATACTTTGCTGTGTAGCCAACGTTTCTTCCAGTCCTATGGACTAATCTCTAGTTGGCAGTGCCCTCAGAGTGGACCATGGAGATGGAATGTCCCTTTCAGAGGCTTGTCTACAAAGAGAAGCATTTCTTATTTTCCCTGTTGGTCCTATTGGTTGGCCAGGTTTCACAGACTCCTGCTCTCATTCAGCACAGGTTTTACATTCTTCTTTTCACTTCTTGAATTATATTCTTCAAAGACTTCCATGCGTGCCAGTTGGCTGCAACTCAAGCTTTAGTATTTACTCTTGCATAGCTCAAAGCCCCTGCAAACCTCAGCATCCTTCTATATTTAACATCACCCATCATGGAGCTGGAAATACAAAACCTTAAATCCCAAGCCTTATCCTCAGTAAGTGAAGAACGCTTTATTTTAGGTGGGCATCAGATATGCCTATCAGGGTACCAGACATTTTCAAACAGTCATGATCATGTCTGGTTAAGTGAGTGTTGATTCTGAAGTAGCTGCTGGAAAGCTCCAGCAAGTCCAACACTGTTGCCACTGCACCAAACAGCATGGGACAAGTCTTCTTTGGGACATCTCTAGAGCCTGTGGGAAATGCTCTGGACATGCTCCTTGAAGGCAAAGCACCATTATTTGAAAGCAACTTTAAGATGTCTGGAGGCAAGTCTGGTGAATACAATGATAGTACCATCTTGGACTCCAGATGAGGGGTAGCAAAAAGCAATGAGCCTGAGCACTGACTGTCAAATGGCTGAAGGTAATCACCAGGGAAGCATTTTAGGCACACCTGGTCTCACCACTAGTAGGCCTACATTAAAGGACAACCTTTCATTTAAGTACCAGACTTAGTGCTTTACATAATCATATTGTATAAATTAGCTAAAAATTAGAATGCTTTCTTGGGTGAAAGATACCTTATACGCACTTGCTAAGCAAAGTGCCCTAAGGAGGAGTTTACAAGCAAGGAGTTCCCATCAGTCTCTTACCTGAGTGTGAGGATTATATAACAAACACATACAAGGACACAATAAGTACAGATGTCTTCCCTCTCACAAAACAGGAATGAGGCTAAGATTTCAGGTGCTGTGCCCTGATCTCCTCTCCTGATCCTTTCTAAATTCTGTAATAAATACAGGAAAAAGGCCAGCCAGCTGTGAGAAGTCAGACCCAAGAAGTATTTCCAGATTAGCAAAACTAAGAGTTCCAGTAAAATCCTATGTTCAAGTTAGAAGATCAGTTGAAGAGCTGGAAGACTAAAATGACTGGTCCTCTGATTGGGAATGGAGTATGGCACCGCCTCCTTGACCCAGGAGGCTCAGCAGGGTAGTTAACATTGTGAGTCAAAAGGCACTTCTAGGGCAGCTGAATACGTAGAGGGCAGATTTTCTGCTTTGAAAGTAGAACTAAGCCGAGGACTGGCAAGTTAAAGACATTTAGCCCCAGGCCAGCCTTGTGGGTCAGGAGCACTCTGGTCCCTGGCTGCTTTCACAATCAGGCCCTTATCTACCTCACTCCTGGCATTCTTGTGGCACTGCAAGTTATGGCTTGCTGCATTTTCATGATGTGGTTTAAGTAGCTTACTTGCTCCATTTCTAGGATGGTAGATTTTTCAGGGGTGTAGGGCACAATAAAGCTACTGAGATGGTTCAATCAGACTGATCTTGAGACCTTGGGATGGAGAAACTGCTAGGGCAGGGGACTTTGGTTTCAAGAAGTTACAGTGCTCACAGGATCACTTAAATCCCATAGATACAAGTCCTTGTGGTTAGGCCCATTTGCTGGAAAAGTGAAGTGGTTTGGAATTTCAGGAAGTCACGTGGACTTTTCACATGGACTTAGCCCAATCCTGCATTAGGACATTCATTTAGGTAAAAGCAAAGATCTTGCTTGAGATCTTTAGTTGAAGGATCTGTTTTACATACTCTTGGGAGGCAGGAAAGGAGAAAGCATGGGGCATGGGAGGAGCAAATGAGAGAGGCTAATTTCATCACTTCCTTTAGGGTGTTGTTCAAACTTTTTTTTTTTTGCAACTAGGGCTCCAAATAGGCAATTATTGCTAACAGAATTTCCTTTTGTATGTACATTTGAGATAAATCACATTTGGAGCACTAGTTTCAATCTTATTTTGATAATTCCCCATTAGCCTGAGCAGAGGCTGGTCTGTTCACATCTAGGGATAAAGTCAAAAGCTAGAATTCTGAGCCCTAACAATGGCAGGTTTAGCTGCAAGAAATTCTTACAGTTTAGTTTCATGATCTTCCTAGGTCTCCTTAGTGCAAAGCATGAGAGAAACTTGCAGAAACTATAGAAGGGGAGGGAGATACAAGCTTGGAAGTAGGCCTCAAAAATGAAGATCTCTTAAAAAAAAAAAAAAATGAAGAATTCCCACTTTATTGGTACCAGAATTACTGGGAGAATTTGTGAGAAAGGTATACTGCCAGAAGCTCCCACCGCCAAAGTCCTGAGCAGATGGAGGTGCAGTCATATTAGGAGGTAAGAGAGTAGTATAGAATGGATAGATTCTGAAACAGAAAAATGAGGGAAAGAAAAGTACACAGAAACAGCTGTGAAAAAGATCTAGGAAAACATGGATGGAAGTGAGAAGCAAGAAAGGAAGTAGAAATGTAAAAAAAAAAATATGCCCGGTGTCCCATGGCATAAGACGTCAGTGAAAAACCAGCAAGTTGGCATAGGCTTTGTATATGTTGGCTTTCTCTGGAGTTTCTGCTTCCAGAACCCCAAAGTGCCAAACAAAATTCTCAAAAAATTCCAGGTTATTAGGCTGGTCAAATGGGCCAACATACAAGACTAGGTACACAGGAGGTGGCCAGGCATAGTCCCTGCAACACCTATTTTCTGTGGATGTGGCAGCTTGCAGGGAGGGTCTCAAGATCAATCCAAATTGGCCCTGGCACCCCCAAACTAGAGGTTGAGCTCTCTGGGCAGTGAATTCAGCCTGGAGAGAATGCCTTCAGTCTGGTCAGTGTCTGCGCTGGCGTTTTGCAATCTCCTCTCGGATGCGCAACTTGAGGGCTTCTCGCATGGGTGGATCCAGAGGTGTGTGTGCAGATACCTCCTCACTCACCCTTCCTGGATCATCATCCTATGTGGAGGAAGAGTCAGGAAGCTCAGGGACTAGCCTCTTCTGCAAAGGTGACCTGCCATATCCCTAAACAATAGTCTCACAGAAATCTATTTGACTCACAGCTTCTTGCCAGTGCCTGTCATTTCCCAGGTGTCCCCTGTAACAGTGATTTTCAACTGGGGGCCACATGCCCTTCCTGTTGCCCACTGAGAATCACTGTGACAGGTATGAGTTATGCTCAAAAATGTTACCCAGTAGTCTATGCTCCCATGTGGAACAGACACTTCCCACTGGCCCTGAGGAAAACGGTGGCTCAGGGTGTGGCAGAAATTTCTACCATGGCCCAGGACCTTCAGGCTGCAGCTATTTCTATGAGGCATACCTGATACACGATAACTGATGTGACCTCTCCGCTGTCTGTCTCATATTCTAAGCAGAAGAGCTGATGGCCAGAAGGCTCTGGCTCGGAGCCGCCACTACAGCTGCTTTCACCGGACTCCTCACAGTCTGGGTTGCTTGGGTGGGTAGAGCCATCTGGAAAGATGAACCAGAGTGAGAGGGAAGAGAAGGCTGCTGGAACTTCTGCCCAGAGATAACACAGGAAAACATACTGTGAAGAAAGCCCCAATCTTATTGATCCTGTGTGTGTGTTTATGTGTTAAGTGTGCTAATTACCCCTGTGTCCCTGTTCCAAGGCTAGCACAGTACCAGCACATAGTAAGTACACAATGCACATTTTTCCAGTGTTGGAAGGTTGTGGAGAGAAGTACAGAGCTCTGCCTGTGCTCAAATTCAGGTTCTGCAACTTACTAGGTCTATGATCTTGGGCAATTTACTTAATGTCTCTGAACCTGTTTCTTGACTGTGCAACAGAAAAGGTAAGAGTTCCTACCTTATGGGGTTTTATGAAAAATAAACGAATTAATATGCATAAAAACTAAAAGCACTTTAACGTCCAACCTATTTAGCATCCTGTATTAACTACTGTGATCTCCAGGTTGCAGAAAAGCTGGAGGAAAAAGGTCATCTAATGGGTTAGGGCTTCATTCCACAACTATGTCCTGGGTGCCTATTGCTGTACCAGACTTTCTCTCTGTCTGATGGTGAGAATATGGAAAATATAGTATGGTTGAGCACACCAACAAACAACTCGTGCTGGCCCTCAGGTATGTCCTGTAACAGCGATGCTTAACTAGAGGGCATGAGCCCTCCCTTTCGTGCGGGAGAATCACTGAGCGGAAGCTGGGGAACGCTGAGATGGAGGTTCCACGAAAGGATGAGATGAATTGAGTCTTGGGACTTATAATGAGGTTCTCTCCATACAGAGGGATTACGCTGAGGCAGAAGGCCGAGGGCCGGAAGAGCGCGCAGGCCTGAGGAGGCTGGCGGGGCGGGAGGCCTCACCTCGGTGTCGCGGTAGGTACACCTGCAGGTCGGGCTTGCGGGGCCGCGTCGGCGCGGGTGTGTGCCGCCTCCTCACTTTCTCCTTAGCCGCTTGCTTCACCTTCTTGTCGTAGTCGTCCCTGCGGGGAGCCGAGCGGGAGTCAGGGACCTCCGGGCTAGACTAGACCCAGGGTGGCGGCGGCGGCGCGGGGCGGGGCGGTACCGGGCGAGCTGGTTCCGTCGGATATGGTGCACGAAGCCGTGGCTCATGTCCAGCCGCCCGCCGGGCTTACAGCAGAGCCCCGGCCCGGAATCCCGTGTCGCTGCCATTGGAAACCTGTAAGGAGACCCGCCGCCGCCTCAGTGGTCCCAACGGCCACCCTCCCGGCCCGAGAGGTCTGTGCTGGCGCTAGCTCGACTTCCGGCCCCGCGTCCTGACGTCATGCACGTAAGGGCGGGCCGGGCGGAGCGTCGCGACGCGCTGGGTCCTGGGGCGGGGCTCCTGACTTACGCTTACCGCTAATACATCAAACCTTCCAGAAAAGCACAAAGCGAATACTCGAAGTCGCGGTCCTCAGTTGTCTCATTTGTAAGTGAGGACACCGAAAGCGCCTACCTCAGAATAAGCTGTGGCGAGGCCGGTGGGCACAACGGAGAGTCCTGGCTGTTCGCTCCGCTGGGGGCGACGGGCCCCCCCAGTCGAACCCAACAGAGCCGCAGCTCTGCGAATGTCCCTGCCTGTCCAGCTGCCCACCGGCTGGATGTCTTAACTGTCTTTGTGGGAGGGCCCAGCCTTTGACAGGCCTGGACTCGTGCTGAAACACCGGGCAAGCTAGAAATTAGGCAGTTTTAGGGAGGGTGCAGGAGGGGACCTCTGAAGAATTTAGGGAGGCTTCAGAGATAAGGACAACCAAGGGAAAGTAACCCATTCCACTAGAAAAAACAAACATCTCAGGACCAAGGACAACATTGTTAACGCTGGTCCTGGTTTCCTTCAGGTGGTAAAGGGAGGCAGAGATTGGAGAAATGGAGAGTGGTTTAATTTATGGACAACTTAGAAGGGCAGCTGTTTAACTTCAATGCGGGGATGTCCATCCAGAGGACTGGGCCATAAAGATAAAGATGTAACAAATGGGGAAAGAGAAAGCTGTTAGATAAGGAATGTGAAGATCCCCCACTCAGTAGCAAATTAAATGAGACGGCCGAGAACTAACCAATTGCAGAGAGACTGGTGGAGCTTTAGAATAATGAGGGAAAGAAGGTATATATTCCCTGAGACATGACTCCACTTTGGCTTCCTTGCCCCTCCCAGGCCTGGTTCCCTGGCCTGGGAGTCCCACTTTATTTCTGTTCTTTTTCTCCTCAGTAAACTTTTTCTTTCTCTAAACAAACCTGCCTCTTCTTGCTTGCTTGCCTGAGCGTCTGTGAAGTTCCTGCTGCGGCTTCGTGAGACACCAACCCGTGGGGGTCTAGTGGCAGGGACTCAGCGCTGCCCTGCAGCCTGGGATCGTTCCTGGCTGGGAGACTAGGCCTGACAATTCTGGTATCAGTGCCATTTTCGGGTCCTCTTGTTAAAAAAGCAAAAATAGTTATCTAGTTATCAGCGATTAGAATAGGGACAAACTGGTTCACCTTACAATGGAATATCAATGAGCAATGAAAAAGAATGAACTTGATATACTCGAAGGCGACTAGGACAATACTCAGATACTTCGATTGAAAGAAAAAAGGGACATGCTATGTATTTCCCTTTATATAAAACTAGAAAATGCGAACTAATCTGAAGTGATAGAAAGTCTATCAATGATGCAGGTAGGATGACACTTTTGGGGCTGGTGGATACGTTTATTATCTGATCGTGGTGATGTTTTCCGGGTGTATCCATCAATTCATACGAATTTAGTAAATTGCACATTTTAAAACAGCAGTTTATTGTTTGTTAATTATACAATACTTTAGAACTATAAAGCCAACGCAATGGAGTCAGGGTTGTAGAAGGGTCTTGGAAAGCACAGGTCCAAGTCTTGTGCTTTAGCAGCTTCCTGAAAAGTTCTCCCTTGCCCAACGTTTGCATTTTCCTGTATTACCAAGAACACCCTCTAAAAGTGGGATTGAACCTCCAAGTTGCTGCATGAAGGGGATGAATGGGGGTTTCGCCTAGTTCTGTGCAGTGGCTTCAGTTTCCAAGGTAGGGAGAATGGGCAGACGATCTCCAAATTTGGTTTCGAGGGTAAAAAGTACCCCCGATAGCTTCTTTTATGCAGAAACTCACTAGTCAGCAAAAGGATCCTGCCTGTTTAAAACCGGAAATTGTGGGTAAGGAGGCAGTAAACTCGCAAATCGTTCTCTGTGCACAGGCTATAGCAAAGAAACCAAGAAGGCGGCAGTAGCTCGCAAAAGTTTCCTCCACGTAGTTTGTCCCCGTCGGCGACCGGTAGAGAGCCTTAGCCGCCGTTACAGCCCCGATCCTGATTGGCTGCGGGCCGCGCGCTTGAGCGTGGCCGGCGCCTGCGCAGGGCTGCTCGGCCGGTAGTGGCGATGTCTGGCCGGTCCAAGCGGGAGTCTCGTGGTTCTGCCCGCGGGAAGCGCGAGTCCGAGTCGCGGGGCAGCTCGGGTCGCGTCAAGCGGGAGCGAGATCGGGAACGGGAGGCAGAGGCGCCGAGTTCCCGGAGCAGCCCGGTGCGCGTGAAGCGGGAGGTCGAACCGGCCAGCGCGCGCGATGCCCCGCCGCTTGTCCTCCCCTCGGTGCGGGTGAAGCGGGAGCGCGAGGCAGACGAGGACTCTGAGCCTGAGCGGGAGGTGCGAGGTGCGCGGGGCCAGGACGGGCCGGGCGCTGGCTCCACTCTCGTCTTCTTTCTTTCCAGCAGTCCCACCCCCGTGAAGAAACTCACTCCACCGTCCAAGTCCGCTTTCCGACTCGACTGCATTTTAATGAGCATAGTCCTAGTTGTAATAGTAACAATAGTTATAATTTGTGTTTTAAGCAACAATAGTAACAGCAGCAGCTTGTTTTTATCGAATGCCTGAAGCGGGCCAGGCACTGTGCTATTTAGAGGGGTTACTCCCAGCAGTTATCACAAAACCTCTGGGTCGTGAGTTCCTCCCTAATTTTGGGGATCAGAACTTTCAAAGTTGAGAGGCTGAACGCTGGGTTCCTGCACCGTACACCCGTTATTCTGGGTTGTAGCAGTCGGTCTAGTCTGTCTGAGACTGAGTCATTGCGCTTTGGGAAAGCAGGTTTCGTCTGTCTCGCACCGTAAATTAGTGGAAGTTATCCTGAACTCACGA